CTGTCAAGCCATAAAAGCCATCCCCAGGCTATGTTCCAATGGCCCAACCCCACTTGTGATCCTAGGATGGCTCCATCCTTCCCACAGATAGTGTATCCATCAAACAACACTGGAAGGGGCACTTCAAGATTCTACTCAACCATGAATCTGAGGTCTCAGCTGCCACCATTGAGTCCATCCCTCAACACCCAGAAATAGAACTTCTTGCCAATCCCCCATCCTTCAAGGAAGTCTGGTGTGCCATTACTCAGACCAAGAACAATAAGGCACCAGAACTAGATGGCATTCCCACAGAAGTCTTCAAAGCTGATGGAAAAGCACTAGTGCAAAATATGGGTTAACAAGGAAACTTCACCTGACTTAAAGAATGCCAACACTGTGACCATCTTCAAGAAAGGAGACAAGTCAGTATGTGGGAACTACTGCAGCATTGTCCTCCTCTCCATTGCCAGGAAGATCCTTAGTCACATCCTTCTGAATCGCCTCTTCCTCCTTGCTGAAAATGTCCTTCCAGAATCCCAGTGTGGCTTTAGATCATCACGGGGTATGACCAACATGTTTTTGTTGCACAACAGATCCAGGAGAAATGTAGAGAGCACTACCAGGAGCTGTTTATGGCACTCATTGATCTAACCAAGGCCTTCATCTCCATCGATCGTGAAGCCTTATGGAAGGTGCTGGCTAGGTTTGGTTGTCCACTGAAGTTCATCAGCATCCTCAGGCTACTCCACGATGGGGTGACTGCCATTGTCCTTTGCAATGGGTCAGAGACGGAACCATTTACCATCCGTACTGGTGTCAAGCAAGGATGCATCAACACCCCAACCCTTTTCTCCATCTATCTTGCTGTGATTCTGATTCTCATCCATGACTGCCTTCCTCCCAGAATTGGGGTTGAGTATCAAACGGACGGTCAGCTTTTCAACCTGTGACATCTTCACAGCAAAACAAAAGTTACCCAAACTGGCATCACTGACCTTCAGTACACTGGCGACTGTCTTATCCTCGTGCACACTGAGACCAATCTACAGTCTACCCCTGACCTTTTTTTAAGTGCCTATCATAGCCTGGGACTCTTCCTTAATATTGGGAAGACCAAGGTGCTCCATCAGTCTGCCCCAGCACAACCTGCCCCCCTCCCCCCACAGATTACCATTGGTGGAGAATCCCTGGAAAACACCAAGCATTTCCCATACCTTGGCAGCCACCTCTCCCAGTCAGTCAGTCTTGATGTAGAAATCAAACATAGGATTTGCTGCACCAGTGTATCCTTCAGAAAGCTGTTTTGCTGTGTCTTTACCAACCGAGATCTGCAGATGGAAACTAAGATCCTGGTCTACGATGCAGTGGTTATTCCAACACTCCTGTATAGGTGTGAGATGTGGGTGACATATCGAAGCCATCTTAAATGCCTGGAATGGTTTCACCAGCATTGCCACAGGAAGATCCTTTGCATTAGATGGGAAGACCACTGCACCAATGCCATCATCCTCTCTGCAGCTAACATAACCAGCACTGAGGCAAAGATCATGAAACATCAACTCTGCTGAGCTGGCCACTGTGTACGGATGGCTGACACTCATATCCTGAAGCAAGTCCTCTTCTCTCAGCTCAGTCATGGTAAGAGGACCTGTGGAGGACAGAGGAAGCACTACAAGGACACCCTGAATGCACACCTCAAGAAGGGCAGCATCAGAGGCAGATTAAGGACTTTTAGGGCCCTGGGCAAGGGGAAGATGGGAGGCACCTTCTCACCCCCGCGGGAGCTCTCTGAGCTGACCCGGCCCCTCCCTGCAGTGCTGGACACACACAGAGACACAGACAGACAGACAGACAGACAGACACATACACACACACACAGAGGCAGACACATGCACACCCAGACACACACTTTTCCCACAGAGGACCTCCCCCCTCCTGCCTCCCCCACTCTTGATCACTCTGAGGATGCCACCCCCACCCCATCCCACCCCACCACAAGCTGCCCTTGGCTCTGTCTAGTTCCCTGCTCGGCCCCTATTATGCTTACCTGCAGGGAGCTACTGCCCAGCTGTCCTGTGCGGCCATGCAGATGCACAGGGCCAGGCCGGGCCAGGCCAGGAGCTTCATGCTGTGTCTCTGCGGGTGGGCGGCAGCACTGGGAGGGGTGGCTACGGGGGCTAAGGTGAATTTGGCCTATCCCCCACCGCAAGCAGGGTGCAGCACTCCCAGCCCTACCCCGCCCCATTGGTGGAGGGGCCCTGCTTTGGGATCAGGGAAGCAAATGCAAAAGCTGTGGTTTTAAACTTGGCGCCATTTTTGTCTCCCTGCCAGGAGACAAAAACAGTGCCAAGTTTAAACCTGTGGTTTTCACTTCCCTGCTGATGAGGATTTTGGTGTCCTTGATTGGTAGTGGCCCCTGGGCCTGGGCCCACCTGGCCTGTCCATTAATCCACCTATAGGCAGCATCAACCTTACAGACTGGGAAGTGCTGGCTGGTAACAGGTCTCAGTGGTGCTGCACCATACATCAAACTGCAGCCCATTTTGAAGAGAACCGTCTTGCTCAGGAAGCCAAGAAATGGCAAAGGAGGAAGGAAAGTGCACAACAATCTGGTTAAAAAACCTGTGCCCCCCGCCCCAAAGGCACCACCTATCATATCTGTAGAAAAATTTGCAGAGCATGGATTGGACTCTTGAGCCATCTTAAAACTTGCCAATAATCCCCACTCCACCACCAGCAGACATCATCCTCATATCAAGGGATAGCCAAAGAAATTGAATGACCCAACAGTGTGCTCTTGTTGCAAAAAAAGCCAACAGCATACTGTATTGAGGAATGTCTCTTGCAAATCAAGAGAAGTAATTCTTTCTCTGTATTCAGCACTGGTGACACCTCACCTGGAGTACTGTGTCTGGTTTGGGGCTCCATGCTTCAACAAAGATCTGGACAGATTGGAAAGAGGTCAGCAGAAGGCAACAAAAATGATTAGAGGCCTGGGAAGCATGACTTACGGGAGAATTTGATAACAGTCTTCAAATGCCTGAAGGGTGATTATAAAGAGGATAGGGATGGATGTTTGTCCTGGGGGTCAGGACTAGGAGCAAAGGCATTTAGCTTCAGCAGAGGAAATTTAGGTTGGAGATTAGGAAGAACTTTCTAACTGTGAAGGTGGTCAGACATTGGAGGAGGCAATCTAGAGACGCGAGTCCTGGTTTTGGGGGAACAGACCAAATTCGGAGAAGGCCTGGAAAGCTACATGGATGTGTGACCACAGAGAGAGACCAACCAGAGATAGCCACAGATGAAGAGTTATTAAGAGTCATCAGGAGGGAAGGAGAATACAAAAGCAGAGACTTAAGAGTAACAAAAGGTTCCTCCCTGTCCTTCTCCTCATCCCTCCCTCCTTTCTCGTCCATCTGTATCCCTTCTTGTCCTCTACCCGGGTCCCTCCCTATCACTCCTAGTTGTCCCACCCCGGGTCCCTTCTTCCTCCTTCCCATCCCATTCCCCGGGAAGGGTCCCTGAGACCACCATGGACAGAGGGCACATGACCAGACCATCTCATCCACCCCACTGGAGGGTGGAGGTGGGCCTCGGTATCCCACCTCCAGACTGATGACATGCTGACTCCTAAGAGAGAGCCTCAGAGTGAAGACTGCATCTGGGCCAGATGTACTTTTCCTCTGATGACAGCCCTAGAATTTGGTAGATATATAGAATTGCTTAATTGTTTGTATTGCTTCTTTTCTGTTACCACTGTGTATCAATAAATTTGCCTATTATTGAATGGAGAGGCTGTGGTTGGGCTGAGGGTGGGATCCCCTCGCCCCTGGCACAAAGTCTCTCAGTCCTAAATCTAGAGCCAACAGTGGCTGGACTAAATGACTAGTGCAGTGACCTGTAACAGTGCCAAGCAGACATGTCTATTTTGTTTCATTAATGATATGGCCCTACCCAGGGCAGTGCTGCATGGTTGAAGAATCCATACTTGAGCAAGGTAAGTTTACTATGCAGACAGTCTTAGTCTCCTGTCCATCTTGAGGAGGCTGGTTATGCAAAATAAACATAAATATTAAGACCAGTGAGGCCTACTGTGCTCATCCAGCTTGGCTTCCTGAAGAATAAAGGCTGTGGAACCTTACCTAGCAATTCCAGCATGGAGACTAGCCTGTAGCTAAGTCAGAGCAGGCATTTTACTTTAAGTAATGAGTCCGCTTCACTCTGTAGGGCATGTAATAGGAATGATGTCTATCATGGATACTTTATCAAAAATAAACTGCAGACCTTAGTAGTTTCGTTAAGCTACACAGAGCTGCCTCAACCCAACAGAAGAAGTGGAATGGATAGGTAACTAAAACTGATCTGATTTTTGGTTCAGGACAGTGGAACCTGGATCACTTGTATCCAGATGATTTACAACCCACTTAATTAGGAGTGGGTAACCAAATTCAGGGCTAGCTGTTTCCTGTGGCTTTTACTTCAAAGGCACTGCGTCTACAATCAGCTGGAGCTCATCCGCAGTCCTGTGTAGCTGATCCAAGAAGCAACAACCTCGGCAATAAAATGCAGCAAACAGTTTGAGCAGCTCAGCAGTGCTGTACAGTTCTCTGCTGTGGCTCTGTACATGCCCTGGTTCTTCACAAATTCTTATCTGCACAGGGGGTGGGGACTGAACCTTGCAATGTATTAATGTTCCTTCAAAGAACACTGGATTTGCAAGTGTCATTGGCAGTGGAGGCAAGTGCATCTTTGGTAGTTTGACCTTCTTGACATTCAGCATCCATTAGGAATAATGACAGGGGCATGTTTGTACCTTTTGCTTTCCCTAGACTGTGCCTGGGTATGGATAGTCCAGATTTCTTTTTTAAGCAGTGTGACAAATACAAGGGGTAGGCTGTTATGACACAAGCAAAGGAGAAGTCCTAGGCTAATGCCTATGCTGAATGCATCTTGGCAGTGATGTTAGCCTGGCATGCATGGACAGGACTTCAAAAGCAATGAAGAGCGACACTGTGGAAAATAGCATGCTTTATTGCAGACATTCAGGCATGAACAGTTAGATAATACTGATGATAAGCAATAAGGCTGCCCAAGGGTACTGGGTTTAAATCTTCCAGGCTCTGTGCACAAAAGTGGAAGGTTGTAGCTAGCATTTCCACCTCTGTTTCCATCTCCAGGCTCTCTTGGGTGCAATCTTGTCCTGTGCAAAGAGGCTGGCGCACAGCTCTGGTGCTGGCAGGGAAACTCCAGTGCTTGGTACTTGGGGATTAAGGGGTCTTGTGTTGGCTCCTCTGCACAGCGGGGCACTTCCTGAATTGTGCTGGATGCTATGTTGATTCCAGAGGGTTCAGCATTTTGAAGGGTTGATCCTCACATCAGGCAATTTACCCTCTGGGGTCAACTTGGTGAGATCGTCTGCCATTCGAAACAAAGTGGTGCTCACTTCACCTATGGCAAAAGGCACAAAGCATTCTTTTGTACTGACATGTTAGGCTGCAGCCTTAGGGCAAAAAGCAGCTTAAACAGAGGTGTCTTAGAACAGCTGATGCCAGCTCTACTTTGGATCACAGAGTTCTTCCCACTTCCGATTTTAGCCCATTTGGTTTGGTGCCTCTAGCTTCCTTATGACATGCTGGGGTGTAGGTTCTTTCAGCCCTGCTGCTAACAGCAAGCATGCAGTAGTAATTGCCCTTCTGCTGCTTTGTTATTTAAAACAGAGGCACTTGGGTCAATAAGTTCAGATGACTGATGCTGGCTCTGCTTAGAGTTCAGTCTTGTGGAAAACAGTTTCTTTTTGTTCAGGGACTGGCACTGGTATGTAGCCTAAAATGGGCGTGGAAGGGTTCACTCAAAGAGGTCGAGGTAATCTGGTTCATGATCCTGCTGGCCACATGGGTAAAGCAGCAACTCTCTCCCCAATGAAGTGATGGGCTCCTCCTGTTGGCAGAAGGACAGAGTTACTTACTGTCAAGCGAAATGAGCCAAGGTGCACTTCAGCCCCCATTCCAAGTCAACTGGAGGCAACGGGTGTCTGGTTATGGGTTTTGAACCAGCACAGTTGTGATTTAACCCAATCCTCTTTCGTCCTTAGGGCCCAGTTCAAATTCTAATGAGAAGCCCCTCTGGAGTTCAGGGGGCCTTTCCTCCAACCTTTCCAAGGCTGGCTATTCTGTCTGGGCTGGAACAAAGCAATGTGCTATTGCAAACAGTTTCAGTGACAAAACACATGCCCCGAGACAGAGTGGAGCTTCCTAACTTTGCTTTGCATCTCCTTTGGTAGCAGCCTCCTGCCAGATGCTCGCCGTGTTAAAGAAAGGCCTGTTTTTCCCCTTTGGTGTAGCACAGCTCCTGTGAGGCAAGAAGCCAACCATGCTCTGCTCTTCCCAGCCTTGCCAGCAGATGCAGAAAGCAGCAGCTAGCCCAACTCAGCCATTGCCCATCCTCCCTGTCAACTGTTGTCTCCCTTACATGGTGCAGTAGCTTGTTCTTTCCACATGCTGCTGCTCCTCTCCCTGTTATCCTGTTCTCTCATGTTCTAGGAGCAGCTGCATCTTTACAACATCATGGGGAAAATAATCCAAGGAAAGATATGTTTATTTCTACTGCTGGTGTATATGCTTCATGAGCTGGGGTTCTTGAGGGTGGGGGTCAACATGAGGGTGGGAGTTCCCCTTGTCTTATGAGCTACATTTTACTCTATATAAGGGGAAATGCAACCTCATGTAGCAAGGAGGACTAAGTAACATTCAAGTGTCCCATTTTAAGAATGTATGTAGCACTCCAACCCTGCTGGCTTTGCACTAGACTTACGTGCGCCATCCTAAGAAATGTTCCCCATTGGAACGTAATTGAAAACATGTTTAAATACAATTCATGAATTGATGTCTCCTGCTGGCATGTATATGCCCAGCAAGTGATTCTGGGACACAGATGACACAGGCATCTTCTGGGGAAAAGATCCATTTCAGTCTTTGCCTTAAATACAGCATTACTGCCTTGCTTGATTATGGGTGATCAAATTGATAACCATATGGTGTCCAACAAAAAAAATCCTTCTACTTTAGAGTGATCAAGTTTTAGAAAGTGCTCAGATGGGGCAAGTCAGCCGAGGGAATATACCCCCCCCTAAAGATATGCCTTTACTGCGGTCACAGCAGCAACTGCAGTGTAGCACAGACATGAGGTACTGTTGGCACTGAAGCTACAGTAGCACCAAACTTTTTGCAGACTGCAAAGCCCATCCAAGAACCAGGGTAAATTAGCACCCATTGAGCTTTATGTTTCTGTGATAAAGCTGCCACATGTACTCATGCTAGCCCGGGCATCTCTACCATGCAGTGACAACAATGTAGATTCACCCTTAATCCCACACATTTTCAGGAGAAGGCTTATGTGAGCCATAACACTTGTGCTACATCAGATTAAAGCTCACACCTCATATTTACACTTTCCCATTGGCTTTCAGTTGACCCTGCATAACCTTCAACGCCTCTGCACTAGTAGACACCATCTATACTGGCAATGTGATGAGAAAGGCTGCACCAGGATAAAAGCACCAGTCCCTCTACTCTTTTGTTCACCACCTTTGCACCACGTAACGTCTTGCCTGTCTCTGATGAAAAGGCAAATTATTCTTTTTCAGTGCTAAAATGTCAGGCTGGCAATCAATTCATGGAAGTGCAAATATATGGGAAAAGTAGTTATTGATACAAGTTGCCTTTACCTATGCCTAGTGGGGGTTGTCATCATTTATGTTACAAGAGTTCCAGCCCCAGGGTATTAGGCAACAAAGACCAACATACCACAAAGAACATCCCTGTCTTGAAGAAATTTAGGGCAGTTACAAAAGTGAACTCTTAACACATGCACTGATAGAGGCTCACCTTGTGGTAGTCGACAAGGTCAGCCAGCGTTGAGTGCTGCAGCTGGTCTACTCCAAGGAAGCTGTATGAGTCACTAGAGGCATCTATGAGGAAGTGTTTACAGCCCTCCACAGACAAATAGGAGAGCACGTAGCCTTTGATTTTTTCACTGATTCGCACCAGGAAGCTCCCAGGCACTGATTTGCTAAGAAGTTCCTCTGCTTTCTTGGAGGTTACGATACCTGCCCAACATGAAGCCAAAGTGAGAAAGGAGAAAGGCTTTTGCATGTGTGTGTGGCCGAGTGGGTCACTCAGTTGTAAGCCTCCAAACTTGTCTGTAACACTCATATAGCCCTGTGCATCTTATAAGCCCTTCACAACCTAAAAGACAACTCCAGGCCAGACAGCATCCCAAATGGCCCGGAAGTGAGGGAGGCCAGAGAGTATGTGGCACTCCGTCACTTCACTAGCTACAGAAAGAGCAAACTCAGGGCTCTCCCATCAACTGGGAGAAGTTATGCTAGAGGGTGGGTGATTTTTACCCCTTCCTTTCTGGCTGCAATTGTACCCATGGAGAAGTAAGCTGTACCAGGTAGGGGCTAGCACAGAGGGCTTCCCTATAGTGCAGGAGTGGGGACCAAAAGGCAGACTGAGGCTGTGCAACCAGGTTTATGCAGTGCTTCAAAAAGCCTAATGAGCACTGCTGGTGCCAGTTAGTCCGCTGGCATGCTAATTAGTCTGTCTGAAGCTCCTGATGGATATGGCTGCACATCTTCCAGTTCAGGAGGCAGCCCACACACAGAGCAGCCCCTCATGCATGAGGGGAGTGTAAGGAGGCGCACTGCCAAGCACCATGTATTTACCAGGCAAACATCACAGTCTGCTTAATGGTTGCTTTGGGAAAAACACAGCAAGGCACTGTCTCTTACTATGTGTGTGTAGCAAAACCACAACTCAGCTCTCCTTTTAGGAGACAGAGTGCACTGATCATAGGAGACATCAGTATTCTCTGTGACCTGCCTAAGGTCACACAGCGGGTTAGTGCTTCACCCAAGACTAGAATCAGGTCTCCCGAGTCCCCTACTAGTGTCCCTACTAGCCAGCTACTAACAATGCCACCCATTAGGCATCTAGCCATTGCTTAGCAAGTTACAAAGTACAGCACATAAAAGATTTAGCAGATTCTCTGAATGGGGTACAGAGCCTGTTGTTTTAAAAAGTTCTTGTTGCCGTTAGAGTATTTATCATGGCACATTTATAGTTAATGTTACCACTGCCTGCCACATAAGTGGAAAGGGCAACTTCCTTCTTATGCAAATATGCTGCCAGTACACAAAGGCATGCCTGCCCAGAGGAGCTTTCCATCTACTGACTCCTCTGTGAAACCCTCTGAAATTGAACTTTCATTTCTACCCAGGAGAACTTTTACAATCTTTTCTCCAGTGCCTGATGAAGGGTCCTTGTGCCTGAAAGCTTGCAATTTAACAAGATTTTTGCAAAAAAAAATTCTTTATCTAATAAAAGATATCACCTCTACCATGAGCCCTGATTGCATTTGTGAAGGCACCTACATGATCTAGGAGGGCAAGTCTCATTGAAAAAACTCATGCTTTGCTGCCACTTAACATTCCTTTGAAGACACAGCTTCTGGCAATTTGGACATCAAGGACATGCTTGTTATTCGAGTACTCAGGGGGGAGAAGTGATGATGGTGGTTGTCCTCTTTCTTTCCCTCAGTCCAGAATTTTTAGATCAGCTTCTCCGTGACTACCTCTTTCCACAAGTCACTGAGCCAAAACACATGCTCAGGCCTCACTTAGTCCCCCTGGTAGCCCAGCAGGATAAAACCACTTGGCCTTTTCAGATGCCGAAGTGCTTCAAAGAGAACAGCCAGCATCCCTAGTCCTGAGAAGAGAGGGTGGTACAGAGAGCTGAAATGACTTGCCTAAGGTCACACAGCAGGTTAGTGCCACACTCAAGACTAGAAACCAGGTCTCCCAAGTCCCCTACTAGTGTCCCTACTAGCCAGCTACTACCAATACTCACATCAGCAATGGGATAACCAGTTGGATTGCTACAGTTCCTCTGTGGATCAGGCCAGGGTTGGAAAGCTGCAGTACTCACCGTGGAACCAGGGTGCTATGCTGTCAGCAGATTTTTCATACCCAGCTCGAAGGGGGTACTGCTCTTCTTTAAACCACCTGATGATGCCCTCTTCGGTGGAACTGGAGATTGTCCGCTGCACTCCCCGCTTCCTGCTATTTCAAGAGAATTGGGCTTACTACAAGGAAATCCCCTGTTAGTCCGAGAGCTGGCCTTGTTGAGGAGCAGCTGCTGCAGTCTAGGGCCTCTGATGATGTTCCATTAGATTTGTAAGCCCAATTCAGAGCTTACAACCCATCAGTGGGATCCATTTTGTCACTGTGTTCACTTGGTACGTGCATCTCCTGAAACAGGCAGACCCTATCCCTTACTGGATTCTTCATCAAAACTCTATGGCACAGACCTGCAACTAGAGCCATCACACCCATGCTCATAAAATGAAATACAGTGCTAGCCACCCACTTCCCACATTAGTAGGGTCCCAGGCCCTTCTACCACCTCCCACAGAGCCACTTAGACTTCTTACCTAACTACTCCATCATTTAGGATCTTAGGCTTTGGTGGAAGAGGAGGATGGGAAGGTTGTCCCTGCTTCCCATCCTGAGCTTTCTTGGAGGCCTCAGCCCTCTTGCTTTTCTGGACACCCTGCAATGACAGTCTTCTGTAGTCATCCCTGGCTTGTCTCGCAATGCTGCGTCTCCTCTCATCAGCCGCCTTGGATTTGCTCACTGGAAGAGACAAGGAAGACTGATCATCAGCTCCTATGCGGGGAATTTGAACCCACTATCCTTCCAAGCACCCTGAGCTAGCTGTAGCTGGGAACTTGCCTCTTAAGAGCTACGTTTAGTGAGTAAGCAGCCTCTGCCTAGAAGTAGCCCTAGGGAGAGTTATAATTTAGCCATAATCCTTTATCTCCACCTCTCCCTCTCCACCCAGCTCCCAGAGCTCAGTCCCTTAGCACTATTACAATCCTTGCAGGCCTGTGCTCGCTGAACTACTCTGACCAACAAGCAGAAGTGAACAAATCACTGTTGCTCACATGCTTCAGGCTACACACGAAGGCTTGTTTTTTAGGCAGGACACCTGAGTTTTCATCTACCAAGACTTCCTTCTATATGGTTGCATCAGGAGGAGCTGGGTATGAAAGGGGGGCTGAGCTCTCAGGCCTGGGGGAGCAGTGTCAATGAGCATTCATTCCCCCAGGAATTGCCAGCTGAGGAGGATAATATGTTTTGGTGCAGGGCAGGAAGGGAGCTGGGTATGAAAGGGGCAGTGAATCACAGCCATTTCCAGTGATACCTGCAATAACTGCTCAAGGGGACATGGCCAATTGCAGACCAACAAGTATGGCCTACCCCTGCGTAACAGGGCTCCTAAATCTTTATTAGGGAGAGGAAGGCCAGAGAGAGGCACAGCACCTTCAAGAGGACTCTGGGCTGCATATTAGCAAGAGTCCTGTGACAGCCACAGGCAGGCTTCAGGATACTACAGGAGCTGCTGGGAGCCTACCAGAAACCCTGGGGAGGGAAGCTGTAGCCTTATGCCTGATACTGGAAGCACAGCCAGGTTGCAAAGCCAGGAGCTGTAGGCTTCCAGGCCATGATCAACAGGCCACTAATGGGATAATGACTGGAGATCACCTAAGGACTCAGCTAATGGGAACTGTGAGAAAGTGTTGGCAGCCCTTTGGGAGAGAAGCAGATTGGGTGGCCAAAAGAGTAGGGGCCAAGGGCCTTAGAAATCCAGACCCACTGCTGGGCTGAGAGAAGGAGCTCTGCAGAGCCTCGAGCAAAGGAAATCCTGGAGCAGAGGAAAAGGCAATCAGGACTCATAGCAGAGCTGATATCTTTTATTATACCAACACGCTTTTTGCAAAAACAATTGTCTTTAAGATCTTGTTGGTTTAATAAAAGATATCAACTACACTGAGGATAAGTGATTTGTATAGCATGTTTATGATGCTGTTTTAATTCTGCAAGGCTTGGGAATGGAAGGAAGCTGCTAAGGAAGGCCTTATAGACTTGTCTATAAGCCTGTGAATTGCAAATGGAGAAAAAGGGGCTTGGATCCTCTGGGGCTGTAGCCAGGCCTGAGGGCTATAGGCAAGCTGAGCCTGTTGAAGGCCCGAGATGGCTGTAAGGAGGGCAGTAGCTAGACCTGTGGAGTCTTTGTGGGGTTGTCACCATGCCCAAAGCAAATGAGAGAGAAAGAGGGGGAGATGAAGTGAGATCTCCATGGCAGAGAAGGGGGTTCCAGACAGAAATGTTCTGGACATCTAAGGACAGTCTCCCAAACATATCTTGAAGAACATAAAAGTGAGAAGCGAAAGGGCACCAGGTGACCAGCGAGGTTAGCAGGCTGGGGCAGGATGCCAGTGGGTTTGCTACACCCTCTTAAAGAGATCCCTGTGCCTGAAGAGCCCGGAGAGGGGACTCATCCCCTGCCCCGCTTTGGAGTGTAATTTGTGCACTGAACAGCATTGAGTGCCTAGACACTGTCTCCATTTTCTCTGGTAAATACAATATCTGTTGCTTGTATAGGTCTTTCCTAGTTAAAGGGAAGAAATACATTTCTACATAGACCAGGGCAATGCAAGATCAACCCCTCAAAATGAGCAGGGGTCTTGGCAAGACCTAGAACTACCTTTAAAGAAAAAGCCTAGTTTTAGAGACCAAATTGAGGTATGGCAGCATGAAAGACCCCAGTCTGGTAGCCAGAACTGAACAATAGGGATTCAGGGCAGGGGTGGGGTGGGGGACCTGTACTGTTACAAGGTAAAGGAACTGTAGGCAAAGAAAGAAAGACAATAAAGCCACTTTGAAAAAACTTTTGGTCTCAAATGTGACCCACTTGTAGTACATTAGTGCCATCTCCTGGCGAGGAGGGGGAATTCCAAAAAATGCATTTGGCTCTTGGCTGACAAAAAGGGGATAGGTATCCTGCTTCTCTGAGAACAAAGGAGAAAACCAGACTAAGACCCCCTTCCCCACCCTGTGACAAGCATGACGGGATGAGTCATTAGGGGTTGTTTTTTTGGCACAGCATTTTAAAGTCACCTTTAGAATTTTTAAAATTATTTCACTTCTGCTAACAACCTTGGGAGACATGCATCCTCGGGGATGACCAGGTGTAAACTCAGTTCTTGCCAGTAAGAAAGACTTCATCCCAAGCCTTGCAATATTTGGTGCTCTGCTTGAAGCTCCTGCTTCTGGAGCCCTGACAGGAGAATCTCATCTTTCATATAATAAGTTGCTAGCCTCACAGCTCTGCAGTAAAGCTTGAAAACATGGCATGGCTCAACACAACGCTTAGGAATTGGATGGGGAAGACCAAACCCAGCACTAGTTTCTGTTTGTTCAGTTTTATTGTTTCCACAGACTTGGCTGTCACCCCCTTTTCTAACAGTCTAGCTAAGCAGCAAGTCATGTTTTCTAAATACACAGAGTACTCCACTAACATCTGTACATAGTAAGAGACAGCTCCAGCCTCAAGGAGCTGACCATCAATATAGATGAGGGAAGCTCCTTATCCCCATTGTATTGATGACAAATTGTGGCAAAGGCTGACAATAAGACCTTGGCCAAGTCCTTTGAAGGAATTCTGCAGCAAAGTTGGGAATTAGTCCCAGATCTCTTGAGTTAAAATACATCCCCACTCTCTTAACTACAAGCTTGCACTGCCTCTCAGGAGGTACTCATGTGGGCTGTAATTCCTTGCATAAAAAGAGGAAAATTTTGATCCTTCACTTAGGAAAAGTATAGTGTAAAAGCATCTCTTACAGCAGGGATGAGCAAAATATGACCCACAGGCCACAACCAGCCCACCAGGCACTTCCATCCTTCCCACAATGCCCCCCTCAATGAATTGCATCTTGCCCAGCCCTTCTGCCCACAAGGGTGGGAGCAAGGCACCCATGTGTACAACCCCCCAGCATACCCTGTTGAGCCTTGCTCCCACCCTCATGGGCAGAAGGGCTCTGCCCAGCCAGCAGCTTCTGAGAGGGGCTCCTACTGAAGCCAGAAACTGCTTGTTCAGGGCAGGAGGTAGAGAAGCTGGGGGGGTGGGGTGGAGTAGCAGCAGGGTGGAAGTGTGAGCCTGTGCCCAGAGGGATGGTGGGAGTGTGGAGCTAAGCTGGACAGAGTGTGGATGTGAGGGTGGGGGGTGTAGGGACCCCCTCCCCACTCTCCCCCCGCACCATGGCATGCAGTCCCAGCTGCCAACAGCAGCAGCAGGCGGGGAGGTCAGGGCGCTTGTGCCCAGTGCAGGTGCCCAGTGGGGCATGGCTCTGGCCAGTGCTGTGCGGGAGGCGGGGGGCAGGGGAGCGCAGCCTGCCCTATTGCCGGGGCTTGGTGTCCTGTGCCTGCAACTCCAGCACTTGCAGCAGGGGAAACCCTGCATTGGAGCCTGCTGCTTCCCCCACTCCCTGCTGTACACTCTGCCAGGAGTGGAGGAAACCCTGCCCCCTGCTTCCCCATGTGTCCAGCATGGGGCTTCCCTGCTGTGTGTGTGGAGTTGCAGGTGCCGAGTCCCTGTGATAGAAGCAGCCAAGCAGGCTGCATGGGGGTGTGCTCCTCGCTCCAAGTGCAGTGCTGGCCATTTCCATCACAGGGGCTCCATGCCCTGCACCTGCAGTTCTGCACTTGCAGTGGGGAAGGCCCGTGTTTGTGGGGCTCCCTTCACTCCCAGCAGAGTGTGGGGACCTGTGCAGGAGGGCGCAGGGGAGGCAGCAGGCTCCAGCACAGGGCTTCTTTCACTGTAAGTTCTGGAGCTGCAGGTGTGGGGCATGGAGCCCCAGTGATAGAGCTGGCTCTGCTCCTTCCCATGCCCCCCCCTTCCCCCGCCCACCCATGCAGTGCTGGCCGGAGCTGCACCTGCTCTGGGCACAAGCACCCTGACCTCCCTGCCTGCTGTTGCTGGCAAGCAGTGGGGGCTGCATGTTATGGTGGGAGTGTTTGGGAATCTCTACACCTCCACCGTCCTTCACATCCCACATACCCAGACTGTGCCCCAACAGCTCCCATTGACATATACATACACCCATAGGTGGTGGAAGGGTGGGGGCTAACCAGCCTCAGCCCCCCACAAATGCAGGGGGCAGCAGGTATAGCCAGAGGGCAGCCCAGCCTGCAGGCTGCTGCAGCAGCGGGGAGCGATGTGCACATTCAGATACCTTGCGCAGCCAGGATCATAGCTGGCCCAGCAAGCAGGTAAGTTTCTTTCTTTACCTGGGCTTGGGGGGGGAAGGGCAGATCAAGACCCCCACAGTGCAGGAGGCAGTGAGATAGGGGCAGGAGCAAATCATTCACCCCTGCCCTGATCCCTGCTGCACTGTGGAGACTGTCCCATGACCCAGACTGTCCAAGGCCTCATTCATGGTGAATGGGGCCCTTGCTGGGCTGCGTCATGGAACAATCAGAGCCCGGTGGCTCCTCCAGAAGTGCGGTGACGGGGAGCCAAGGGAGGGGGCACGTGCCCCCCGATCTTTGCACAGGGCAAGGGCAGGCTGCAGCTGTGAGCTGGGTTCTGCCTGTTCCCTGCCTCACCATCGCTGCTTTGAAAGCAGCGTGGCACAGTGCCATGTGAGTCCTACCACTGCAACGAGGCACATAGCACTGCGCTGCACCACTTTCAAAGCACTGACGGTGAGGCACATAGGCTGGGAGCAGGCAGAGCCCAGCTCACAGCTGTAGCCCCCCCCTTGCCCTGTGCAAAGATTGGGGGGGGGGCATGTGCCCCCCCTCTCTTGGCTCCCCAGCGCCATGCCTCTAGAAGAGCCACTGGGTTCCAATTGTCTCATGACCGTGAATGGGGCCCATCTGGGCCAGGTTGTGGGGCAATCAGAGTCCAGTAGCTCATTCAGGAACACAGCATGGGGGAGCAAAGGGGGCAGGATGTGCCCCCCCTCCCCTGGCTCCCCTGCGGTGCAAGCAGTGGCAGGAGCCACCTGCCCACACCCTTGGAGGAGGTGTTGGGCTCCAATTGCCCCATGACCTGGCCCAGCCTGAGTGCAGCCCAGCGCAGCCCCAGTCCCACTCCCCACATAGTCCTGCCCCCTCCCCCAGCCCCTTCCCCTGTAGACTTCCCAGACTTCCACGTGCACATGTGCTCAGCTCCTCCCCCCCTTTTCTTCTCTCTGCCTATGCATACACCCCAACATACCCTATGGCCCCCTACACAGCCACACCCTCTCACAACCCCCCCACACTCCCACACCCCACCACACACACATTATAAAAAAGTGACACTTTATTTTTGAGTTATTATGCAGTCCCTTCTATATACAGTACACAATCACAAGTTATGACAAATATCTGTTGTAAAAAAAATAAAATATATAATAGTAGGTATTTGACTTCTAGTGTATGACTTGGTTCTTTCTGGTTCTAGGATGGCAATGCCCTCTCCCAAAAGGAGTATTTTGGAAGCGGCGTGCAAAGGGAGGGACTTCTGGTGGCACAGGTCGGGGCTAGGGGGCAGGGCTTCTGGTCCCAATGTGGTAAGCCCAGGGCAGGGCAGCTGTCAAGGAAGGGGCTACCTATGCGGCCCCGACCGCTTGCCAAAACTTGTTAAGCGGCCCTCCGCCCAAAGTAAGTGCCCGCCCCCGTCTTACAGGATGCCTGCCACTCAGGGTTGTCCTTGTCTGAGTTCTGTGCTGACTCCTGCATCTCCCCGCAGTTTGGTTCACAGCAAGTGGCCGTCTCCTTTGCTGATCTGGTGTCTCCTGGATTCCTCCTTGTTTCTTCCTTCTTCTGCTAAAGAGTGACCTGGTTAATGCCTGGCCCCTCTTTCTGCTGACTTCACTCCTTAGCTTATTCTGGGGATTCTGGGGATGTGTTTTAATGTTTCCTGTGAAATAACTGGGATTTCCCTCCTTCCCCCAGACCCAGCTACATAATAACAGGCAGGACCTGGTCACAGCAAAGGACTAGAGTGTTCTCAGGGGAATTCTCTGCTACATTACATAGTGTCATTCAGAATTGCTTCCTACCCTAAACACCAGGAGGAGAGACCCATCCTGATCCTTGGTTGTGTGTCCATAAGCAGCTTGAGCTGAAGGTGCAGAGTCACCTTAAGTCCCCTTCTTGTTCCCTTCATCCCAGGGCGACCTGGCACCCAGCTTCCAGGCAGAACCCTGAAAGGGCATTACAACAGCTGGATTCCTGCAGCCACATCCTTGTCTCTCCGGCCATGGCCCCCTGCTCAGCAATGGGAGGCTAATGCCAGGTCTAGGTCCTGACGATCTTGTTAGCCTGGGTTATCTTCCTGTGGCCAGCTCTGCCTGGTTCAGAGGCCACAGAGCAGAGTCTGGCTCATTGTGTGGGCCTATATAAGGAGCAAATTGGAGAACTGCTTACCTGCTGGAAGCCACGGTCCCTCATATGGCAGTCTGCCAGCATCTGATGAATGTCTCTGGTTTTACTGGGCACAGACTAGAAATTCAATGACAGACAAGCACAGTATTAGGACTTCAGCTCTTTGAACAAACTTTTGTCCAGATCTACTTCTCCTGCATATGGTGCAGACCAAAAGCCCTGCCAATAACCAAGTGAAACAGGATCGTCGGCCAGTTTAGCTGCTGACTGAAGTGGGAGCTGCTGAGGATGCAGCACTTCTGAAAGTCAGACCACTGGTATGTGCGTCTCAATAGGGATTTGAAAGCCTAACTTCCCTAAGCACAAGCTATAACAGAGCTCAGCTGAAGTTCAGCATGCTGGTGTAACCCGCCTGGATCTTGCAGTCAAAGGGAGACTAGGGTAAGCTACAGCAGCCCAGAGGATATTCTAATTTTTATCAGCCTCCAAATATCTGTTCATGCCTCCAAGAGCACAAGAGCTGATATAACTCAACCAGTCTTCAAGAAATACTGGCACAAGGGCAAGACAATTCCTCCTGCAGTTTCCTTAGCACAGTGGTTCTCAACCTTCTTAGACTCAAGACACCCCTAGGAACATGCCAGCTCTCATTCCTTTTTTTGATTATGGAAAAAATAATAGAGCTGTTCTTCTGTTGCAAAGAACTCAGCTCATACCAGGTATGAATAATTTGACACTCTGGATTTCTATTTGAAATCTCTGGCTTTACTTTGTGAATCGTGTAGGCATTTGCACACCTAACAATGCTAGTACTTTTCTGCACCTTCAAAAAGATCTCATGGCAGCCCAGGTTGTGGTGACACTTTGAGACCCATGGCCTTTGCACTATGCAGTGTGGTCCACACTCTCAGGAGGCAGTGGCATTGGGGCTATGACTATTGTACGCACATACACACACACTGTGTTGTGGCAAGTGTCCCACCAAGGGATAGGAGGCAGCAGTATGTGGGTTTGTGGGAGTGGCAGGGACTCTAGTGGGATGTGTATGTAATCTAGTGTCTCTCAACATTTTCAGTCAGGGAACTCCTCCATTATGTTTTTTGCATGTGACAGCATCCCTGGCTGAGAACCGCTGTTGTTGCTGCCTCAGTTTACCTCGGTGCTTCTCAACTGGGTGTTGATGTCTTCAGGTAAAACTACCCTGCATCCCTACTGCACAATCAGCCTAGGAAGGGCTGTGGCATGCATGGGCTCCTTCTGCATTAGGGGTCTATGATAACCCTGAAGCAGGAAGGGGAGCTGGCTGGTGCTGTAGCCCTTCCTGGTCTGCCCCAGCAGTCCTCCTGGAAATAGGTGTGTGGGCCTCTGGTTCTAGGAAGAGATGGGGGGGGGAGGCAGACTGGCAATGGCTATGGCACAAGGTGGCTTTTCTGTCCTGCTTTAGAGTTATCAGAGAGCTCTAACGCAGGAGGAGCAAATATGCGCAGCAGCCCTGTATGCAGTATCATGGTACCTCTGAGGGGGTTTCATGGCATCCGGGCTGTACATGTACCCCTGGCCTGCCCCCACACCTCCTCAAGAAATGGCACAGCACAGCTCTCTTTTCCCCTTTCTCATGAATCACTCAACTAATGATTCTTCTTCTCACTCCTTAGACCTTGCTTATTAGATGCTTCAGCCTAGCTCTGCTCCCTATGCTGGAATATACTGCTGGGCATTTCAATGAGATGTTTTAAATCACACTTTTCTGGGTATCTCTAAATGGCTCAAAGAAGAACGGGTTCCCAGGCCTGGCTCAACTGCACATAGTCCCAGCTTGTCCCTGCTGTGCTGCTCCCCTCCTTGGCAATCTGACACCCATTGCTGGTTCTGAACCCTGCAGGTCATCTAAAAACACAGCTCTCACAATGAGAAGGTTGACAGAGCATTAGAGCATGTATCTCTCCCCTGGGCTGTGTGCTCTACCAAGTGAAAGACATTCTCTGTCCTGATGTGCCAAGGTAGGCAAATGATGGCTGAAAGAAAGCATGTCCAGTGAGGAACTGATCTTAGATGGCTTGGCTAAGGACACATAGGAAGTCTGTAGCAAGAGTGGAAACTGAACCTGGACCTTGAGTGCAAGTTTTCAGTCTACACTTCCTCTCTCAGCCTGTTGACAATGGCATGGCCCTTAGTCCCTGTAATCCCAACTATTCAAGGAGCTGTAGGTTTGGAGATCTCAACATTTAGGGTCTCAGGCACCCTGTACATCTGCCTGAGAGCTAGAAGGATGAAGCCATCCCTGTCACACTGAGGAACTTGGAGAAGCCCATGTGTGCTTGAGTGTGCCACTTTTCTCATTCCTTGAATATGTCAAGCAAGGTAGTCACATTTCAGAGCCTACCCCATCTAGCAGTGAGTGCATCCAAAGCCATTTTCTTTCCTTTCCATCTAAAGGAGGCAGCTTGCCTACTGTCAGAATGCCAGTTAATGAGTTTCAAGCCCATGGGGCTTCATAGCAATGAAGGTATATCAGTATGTCCTATCAGTAAAGCACTCCTAGCATGGACACAGCTTATATGGGCAACTATGCACTCTTTAGGACAGCAGTTTCCAGTCTACTGGAGTAAAACAAGCTATACCAGTCTGATATAAGATTACATCTGCACAAGGGGCTTTTTCTGGCACAACTCGGTTGGTCATAAATCACACCCTGGAGCAACTCAGTTACACCAGCAAAAATCTGGATCATAGGACTGGCCTTTGAGACAAACACCCTGGATTTTATCTTTGAACAAACATACACTGACCTCCAAAGTCTGATCTAAGCCGCTGCCTTCAGGGCAGTGACTAATACATTTCCTGTACGATATAACTTCCCAAGGATATGGATTTCTAATTTCATTAATGTTAAATATTAACACAGTTGCTCATTTTTGCTTTGCTGGTAAGACTGAATCTTGAAAGGAAGTAAGGCTGAAACTTGAAAGGGAAAATCCAGGGAGTTTCTTTCCCAGTTAAAAAAAACATTGATAACAAACCAAGGACACTCTACTCAGGTGCAGTTCAATTCTAAATAGAGCTCCAGAGAATGGAATTGCAAATAACTCAAGCCCCAGAAATTCAGAAAATGTGCTGCCCACTCCCCTCGCCTCAGCTTGAGTCTAGATTCTCAATTGTTGCCAGCAATTGAACAACTAGAGACAAAAAAGGAGGAGAGGAAAAAAATAACCGAGTGTAAATAAAAAATTATGGCGGGGGGGGGGGGGGGGGGTTGTTTTGTTTTCTAAACAGGAGGTTTCTTTGCCTTCTGCTTTGTGAGCCTTTAGGATTCAACAAACAAATAAAAAAAAAATCCCAAACCCAGCCAGTTTCAGAAGGCACCAGACAAAAAATAATGGGACTAGGCAATAGGGAGATCCTCCCATGCACATTCTGCAGTAAACTCAAGCTTGGTCAAAGGCAAGACTTGAATTACCTTGCTTCTGTACACTATTATGTAGCTACTGGCTGTTTTAAACCCATACATGTAGTTCTACAAAATACTAATAAAGGACCCAAGCCAAAGTCCTTTGAAATAAACAGGAGTCTTTCCAGTAAGTTCAAGGGGTTTTAGGTTAGGTACTAGGTTTCCTGACAATATTTTTGGATAATAAAGGTTTAGAGCACAAGCCTTGTTCTATTTTTTTTTTTTTGGCAAAGAAGATGATATGACACATCTCTAGGACATTTTGCTTTTCATTTATTTGTAAGTAAGGAAAATAGATTTTCAAAAAGAAACACTTTCAGCAAAATATACATCCTGTTCTTTGTAACCTCAAGCTTTCTCAGGGTATCAAAATAGAAGGCTAATGTGCACTTCTTCAGAAGGAAAACTGCAGTTAAAAAATGCCAGTAGTTTCATGGGCCTTACTGCATCTTTTATACATGCGAGAGGGCTGCAGAGGGAAATCCCATAATATTTTCCCAGTAACCACTCCAGGAACTGAGGATTTGATTGTGGTGAAGTGAGAGCCCCTGGGGGAGCCTAATCTCATTTCCAGGATTTACCTCTTGAGAACAAGAGTGAGTAGGATGGGCTTATTTCATTGGCAGCGAGACTGGGCATTCTCAGTGCTGCCACCATGTAGACATTGACACTCAGAGTGAGATAGGGCTTCCATTGTGTTGGGCACTGGCCAGATGCACAATAACAACAGTCTCAGCCCTCACAAGCTTACAGTCCAAACAGAGGACAGAAATGGTAGGAACGGAGAATGGAAGCGGAGAAAACCCCAGAAGCTTGCTCAGAATGGGTGGTAGAGATGAGAATTAAACTCAGATCTCTCAACATCTAGGCCAGTACCTTAACCACAAGGCTGTATTTCCTTTCTTACAACCGTTTTTCCACCAAGTTACATGATCCTTCCAAAGCACAGAAGAAAACAACCTTAAAAATCAAATGCCTTGTCCTAATTGAAATGTCTATCTATAAAACACCAGCTCCATCCACTTGGAGCATCTGAAATCTTCAACTCCTACATGTATGCACTTCTGAGCAGTGGTAGAAGACCAGAGAACAAGTACCTGAGTTTGCTTCTGACTTCTCTCCTTGGCATTTGCCACTTTCATTGCTTCTTCTTCCCTCCCCTCTCCAGTGTTTCTGTCATTTCTGTGGGCGTCCATCCTGTCCAGGGCTCTTAGCTGAGAATGCAGAGACCATGTTATGGAAGGCTTGGTCAATGCTTGACTCTCTCTGTGAAGAGATAAAAATGGGATTTGGAAATCAAATAAGCCTGGTGCCTTTCATGCAACTGAAGGGAAATCATATGCAAACACAGCAATTGTGTGGAAGGCTCTCAGACCGAGGAGCACCACAAGTCCCAGGGCAAGTAAAGGTATCACTCACTGAGCAGGTTAACTCCTGCGCAACAGGAGCCCCTGTTAATAGTCTCAAATGTCACCTACTCTGGTAGCAGAGACACTGACCATTCCAAATATTGTACACAGGTATTACTGCACCCCTAGCACTGTACAGAGGTATTACTCCTGACCCATTTTACAAGGGCACCACCCCAGGGTTTGGATTTGAGCTCCCCTCCTATTGGCACAGCAGGCAGCAGGGCTAAATGTGGCTCCCGCATGGCGGAGGTAGGGAGCACTTGGGAACCCCTTAGGTCACACCTCTGGCATCTGCAAATGAACTGGGATGTCAACACATGCCCACACCCTGCTAGTTGCTCAGGAGCAGGTTGAACAACTCTAGCTTGATATCTAGCTTCCTGCAGGCTTCAAGACACATGCTCCATAACAGAAAACACCTCCTAGATTTCAAAGATCCCAGGCCTCATGTGCCCTGAGACTTGAGTGTATGCCCTGCAGCCCACACAGTGCTCTGGCACATACAATAGGTCCAGTTAGAACACACACAGTAGGTCCAGTAGCTTTGCAGCTGCTTGTCATTAAACTGATGGGGAAGGAGGATCCAATCTGACAGGATCCAGATTGAAGAACCCACAATAGTTGCCTCCATCCTAGATCTCCCTTTCATGTTGCACCAATTACCCTCCCTATATAATATGATGGCTCCCTCCTTCTTCACTAGTGACACATCCCAGCTAGCAGCTGCAAACCTGCT